ATGATCACTTCTTTTCTGGAGGTGGTTTTTTTTTTTTTTTTTTTTGCTTTCCTAGGCGGCCGATTCAGAGTTAATTGCTCTATGCCAATGGCAGTAAAAGGAATGTAGTGATCTGTTTAACCACAGCCAGATGAAGCATCTTTGCAATTATTCACTTATTAAATTCAATACCGCTGAAGGGAAGAAGGAATATGACACACTACCTTATCATTAAATATTCAGAATTCACTCTGAATCACACTGAATATCACAACTAAGAAACTGAATTAAAACATTTAGGTACTGTCATATATGATGATTAATATGAATTATGAAAATTTATTCTAAGTTGCAATGTAACAAAAAGCAAATTATTTCTGTACATCAATTAGGCAAATACATGAGCTCTTAAAGTTGGAAATTGATAAAGTTCATTGTTTAATAAAGAAAACCCAAGCTTATAAAAAGGATATTGCAAAGAGGACTGCATAAAATTTTAAACAAAGTCAACTTATAAACAAGTTCCCTAAATTTATTGGCATACAAACTTTACTATTTTTTCCTTTAACACTGGACATTCCCAAGTGATAATATAATTTTACAAGGTAAGGTATAGTGTTCCTTTCCATTTTTGGTTAATTTTTAAAAACAAATAATTTCTTTGATAAAGATATTTTACCCAAGAAGGTAGCTATTTACAAGGACGTGTTGAAGTAAAAATAGCAGTTGCTTTTGTTATAAATTTTTGAAACCCATTACATTTGCCTAATAACCAGCTGAGATATAACACTGGAGATGTTTTTAGGAAATTACAAAATATAATCATGTTAACTAAAAAACTGCCAAATGTATCTCTCATTTCTCTGAATTAAGTTGCCTTTAAAAGAAATACGAACTATAATAAAATTTAAAATAAATTACCAGAAGGAAATGTGGAATTAAAACTAATTAATCTGGTCATCTAATTGAAAGAAATATTGCTAATGAGACCCTCAATGCTGTGATCCATTTTAATCACAGAAGTGAAATGTCAACCATCCCACCGCCAGAGACTCCATTATTTTGCAATGCTTAAGCTCTTCTTTTCAGAATTCTAAGACTGCTTCCTGACTTGAGTTCTCACCAACAGCCCAGATAATAATTGAGAAATGGGAAAAGGGAGTGACGGGTGAGACTGACACACAGAGACCAAAAGAGGGAGACTTGGCCAAGCTTGGGAGAGCAACCAGTATTTCCTCCCCTGGGCAATAAAACAAGTGTGGTAAGATCACTACACAATGCACAGGCTGTGTAACAATCTGCATAGGGAGCACTTTGGGATGAGAGAAAAGATTTCGTATCATCTCCAGAAAAGCTGATGGTTAATAGGCACTGGGCAGAGAACCAGGTCAGGGCTTCCTTGGGGTTTTTACAATGTTTGGGAGTAGAGCTTTGAAGCAGATCTATTCACCTTGACCCATATACACCCGAGTCATGAAATATCAAATCAGGAGTCTCAGCCTAAGGCTTCTGCAGATTAGTAGGTCAGTGATCCCTTGGCAGAGACCGGACGGGGTGGTTGGGACAGTGTTTACTCTCACTATCATGTCCTATCACTCAACGAAGTTGCTCGGAACAAAAGTTTTCTTTCTTCGCCACCCTTGCAGCAGTCTTATTTATTGCTCTGTGCAACCTTGCTAAAATGTGAAAAAAAAATAGGCGCCCTCACCTCTCCTCGTGCCAGTCCCCTAACATGCTGAAGCCCAGGGCACAGGGGAGGGTATTAGAAGGTTGTGTGTGTGGAGGGGGCCACTCAGCAGAAACCTTGACCGTTCTGAGTCATTTTTAAATGGAATCTTTTGTTGTGTCTCCACGGCAGCCGGAAAACTTGCTCAGAAAGAGACTGGACATGCTAATAAGCAAACCAAATGCTTCAAAGCCGTATCATCAGTCCTCCCCAGCCTGCTTTTCCTGCTTCTATAGAGAGAGGCCAGTCACCACCTTTCTATTTCAGTCACACTATGGTTCTGTGGGAACTGTCATTTTCCTTTACTGCGGTTTCCAAGTCCCTAAAATAACCTTCTCATTAGCTTCACTCAAGTTCATTGTTAACATAAATAGGCCAATACAGGCAGTGACATAGAGGGCGCTGTAAGGGAACATTATCAGCTCTGCTCATCTATTTGTGTTCCAAACATATATTTGGAAGAGCATGACAGAAAGTCTTGGTTTTCCTTATTATCAGGAAAGATACTGCGGTTAATTTTTAACTTCCTGGAAATGAATTAAGAAGACTGATAACTTTTAATTCAGCTTAGGCTTGACGGTCTTTGTCACATTCAGGTGGCCACTGGAAGAAGCTTGAGTAATGTGGAAAATATGTCTGTGCCACTGCTGGCAAAGACGCAAAACTGTACTTCCTCAGAAACAGTATGACAGAGTTTGTGTAAAGGAATGCAGTGCTGGCTTATTCAGAAGCAAAACTGCCCCTGGTATGCACCATCAAATCCAACCCCAACACTCACTGCCCGTATCCTACTCTGGCACGATACGGTTGGGGCGCAGAAAAAATAGAATGGCTCCTTTGTAGATCAGGTGGTCTTCTTTCCATTCTACCCTAAAGGGCTTCATGGTTAGACTGGAAAACTAACTAGGTCTAAGGAACAGCAAAGGGCGCCAAAGAGTAAAATAGGGTAGTACTCTTCACTGGGTAAGGGCACTTAATGAGGCGCCCTTATTCAATAAATAGCTCAGTTTTCACACTTCCTTGCTTCAAACTTTGGTCTTAATTGTAGACTAAAGTCCTGAGAACTGTAGTGAGTGATTTTCATTATATTTGGCCTGCATGAAGCAATATATCTTTCTCTGAGGAATTTCAGGATAACTGATCAATCTAGAAACAAAATTCTATGTTTTTTCCTCCGTAACTCTTCTCTGGTTTATTTTTCCTCATATCGTTCAATGCAGTATTTTAATCAGTAGTTTAATATCTACTTTCTCATACTATAGTACCAATTCCACAAGGGAAGGACTTTTACCTATTAACAAAATTCTATTTTAAGAGTTGACAATTTTTCTAAAGAGCAACAAATAAACAAACCAAATTTAAAAAAAAAATCAACCAAACAACTCCCTAAGCTAATTGACACAGGTGGTCTCTGCTCCAATTATTCATCTCAGTAGACATAGCTCAGAAATAGCCACTGGACACTGAATAAAACTTTATTTCTAAAGACCAATAATTAGCTGGATTAGGCGGACAGTCATAGTTTGTTGATGCTCTATGTAACAGGTGTACTAGCATTGAAACAAGGAAAATTGAGAAATGATGATCACCACATTATTTGGGCAAAATTAATCCATGGCATTAGACATAGTATAGTGGCTGCACTTTGTGTTTGTGGGTTTGGGGAAATATTTGAGATAGAACATGAATAAGCTTCTGGGTTACTGGTAATGTTCTTTCTTGATGTAGGTGCTGAGAAAATTCACTCAGTTGTGTAAGAATTCATTCTGAAGTTGTGTGAATTTTAGTGTATACTTGGTACTGCAACAAATGAGTTTTTTTGTTTTATTTTGTTTTTTAAAAGAACAACCATGTTTTAAAGGAGAAAGTGTTTTCTAAAAATTTAGGTAGAAAATCCATCCTAGAGGGTATGGGGGCTGGACAAAGTACCTGTAGGTTCTTAGCTTTGTGGTAAGAAGGACATAAGAAAAAAATTTCAAACCACAATTTCTCTTTTTAAAAGCTGTGGTTTAAAATATTACCAATAAAAATGCCATCTTAATCATTTTAAATACACAGTCCAGCAGTAAAGTAGTTCACAACAATGCTTTGTACTTTTTCATCCAATTATGAAACTCTATAACCATTAAACAAGTCCATGTTTCCCCTCCCCCAACCCCTTCCCCCAGTTCCTGGTAACCACAATTCTACTTTCTGTTTCTATGAGTTTGACACCTTTAGATAACTCATAGAAGTGGAATAATACAGCATTTGTCTTTTAATTTCAGTATAATGTCTTCAAAGCTCTGTCAAGATTATGCCACAAGAAAGGAAGGAGAGCATAGTGTTTCTTTTTTTTTGTACAGCTAAGTAATAAATACTCCATTTAATGTATATATATTATACTTTGTTATCCATTTATCCACTCATTACCCTTCAATGGACTTTCAGTTTGGTTTTGCCCGTGAAAATATCTCTTGAAGACCCTGCTTTCAGTTCTTTTGACTGCATATACAGAATGAACTTGCTAGATCATAGGGTAATTCCATTATTAATTTTTTAAAGGAAACTACATCTATTTTCCATAGAGGTTGTGGACTTTTTAATTTTGACAGTACCACAAGAGATCCATATTCTCAGCAGTGCTTGTTTATTTCTATTTTTATGACAGCACTGGTACATTTCTTTTTTTTTAATTGAAGCAATGTTGCAAAATAATATTAAGTTTCAGATATCACAGGCCCTATTTTCAGAAGCCATTTCTCAAAAGGTCTCCAAGTGACAATGACTGATAGTAGTTCTGGGGATTGGACCACGTACATGCCACATTCATAGCCTCCCACCCCCACCCCCATAAAGAAAAGGTACTTTAAATATTACTTGAATCTATGTTTTTCATAAAACACCAGCAACATTTTACAATGTTCACTCAAAGTTTTTGGATTGGTTGAATATTCCTAAGCGAAATGAGTAATGTTCAACTAGAAAATGTATCACAGTAGGAAAATTTTAAAGTTATACTTTCATATTGTATGTCAAATGCCACCCTTGTGAATCTCCCAGAAAAGACATTCTCTTGACTGTCAAAAGGGAAGTATAATTAATAAATTAATTTATTTAATAAACTTTGGTCCCACTACATTTGAATATTGAAACAACTGGGAATTCTCCCGAATAGAACAAATAGGCTGACCTTAAGTAGAAGCTAAAAAATCCTCCAAAGTTAATGACACGATTAGGATGAAAAGAAACTAAGGTGTGAGTGGAAGGTCAAGGGAAAAATTCCAGTTTCAGGAGCTATGGCAGAGATGCCTACCTTGCTCTTCCAGAAGAATTCGCACTGCTGAGTTTTTCGCCACCTCTTTTTGGGCTGCTGCGGCTTCTTCTTTTGACCACTGCATGTGATCCCTAGCAAAAACCACAAACATGCTTTGTGACTGAAGAAGGCAGAAAAATGGGAGGAAGGGATAGAATCAAAAATACAAGAAACAAACCCCATGTCCAATGTGTATGTTTTGTGTCACATATTGCTTGTGATAGAGTTGGTACAAGCCTGTAACTCTTCTAACTCTCCTGCTTAAATCTGGTTAAGCTGCATGTCCCAATTTTTTGTAAATGACTTGCTGAAACAATGCCCAGAAATACTATGGTGCATGATAATGTGAGGTTGGTATGACCTGATATATGGTTGGTATGACAGTTACTCTGTCACTGTCACTGTCCTCCCGTTGTTCATCGATTTGCTCGAGCAGGCCCAGTAACATCTCCATTGTGAGACTTGTTACTGTGTTTGGCATATCGAATATGTCACGGGGAGCTTGCCAAGCTTTGCCGTGCGGGTGAGATACTCTCGGTAGATTGCTGGGCTCTCCTAGAGAAGCGGAAGAATTGAACCTGGGTCGGTCGGGTCGGTCGCGTGCAAGGCAAACGCCCTAGCGCTGTGCTATCACTCCAGCCCATGTTTACTCTAAGACAAATGTATTGACTTTTTGGTTAATTTATAAACAGAGAATTTAAAAAAATATTTCCCCCTTATTTTGAGGTGGAAGGAGCATTCTGGATCACCTGTGGTGCTCAGGAGTGACTCCTGGCAGTGCTCAGGGGCCCATACTCAGAGCTGGGCATCAAATTAGGGTTGGTTGCATGCAAACCAGGTGCCTTACCATCTCTTCAGCCCATCCTATGGTTTTAAAATTGCTGCTTTTTATTATAGATTTATTATAATTTGCTGCTATAAAAAACATTTACAATTGTTGTACCCATTCTCAGTTTCTTAAATAACATTCAACTGTTCTTTTTAATTGCCTTAATTTCTGTAAACGGATTCAGTTTTGGTTTTTTTGTTTTGTAGCATTCACCTGGTGGTGCTAAGGGCTTACTCCTGGCTCTGTGTTCAGGGATCAGCCCTGACAGGCTTGGGGACTATATTGGGTATCGGGGACCAAGTGTCCTATACATTGTTCATCGCTCCAGCCCCTGTAAATGGATTCATTTATATTAAAATGATAAAACACTCACAGAGCATGCAAAGGGTCATGTTTCTAAGATTTAGCAATTTCTCTATTTTCAGCTTTAGAATTTACTCACCATATTTTATTATTTTCTGCAACAGAAATAAAATAGAAGCAACATATTTATACAAAACAGGATTTGTTTTGTTTTTATAAAGGTCATATTTCTTTTCAGAGGCCATATCCAGGAGTGCTCAGGAGTCGCCCCTACTGGTACTCACGGGTAACTCACAACAGTGCTCAAGGGGGCATGGAGTACTAGAAATTAAATCTGGGCCTCCAGCATGAAAGACATATGCTCAGCCCATTGAGCTATCTCTCTAGCACTATAAAGTTTATCTTTATATTTTTTCAATAGGGAAGCTGGTAAGTGACGTAATGTCCTGAAATCAAATATTTTTCTAAACAATAGGAACTCATACACAAAATCTAAGTCCTTGCAGCTTATTGAGAACTAAAAAAGAACATTATTATCATATGACATTTGTAGTTTCTCACTCATGATAAAGGGGGCACATTACTTACTCTTGATGTGTTTCATGATAAGGACTGACAAACATTAATCAAGGTGTGTATAAAAGTGGGCGGGAGCGATAGCACAGCTGGTAGGGCATTTGCCTAGCATGTGGCTGACCCGGATGACCTGGGTTCGATTCCTCCACCCCGCTTGGAGAGCCCGGCAAGCTACCGAGAGTATCTCGCCTGCCTGCCAAAGCCTGGCAAGCTACCCATGACTTATTCATATGCCAAACATAGTAACAACAAATCTCACAATGGAGACGTTACTGGGCCCACTCTAGCAAATCGATGAACAATGGGAGGACAGTGGTACAGTGCTATAGTGTATGAAAGAAGGAATGTGGAAAGCAGAAACACAAAACAAAGAAAAAAGTCCATTACAGTTGGCTCTTTTGGTTAATTGCTGGCGACATTAGGAGTGAGTAATGGTCAGATTTTTCTTTTCTTTGTTTTTAATTGAATCACAGTGAGATACACAGTTACAAAGTTGTTTATGATTTGATTTCAGTCATACAATGTTCTAACACCTGTCCCGTCATCATTGTGCATTTCCTACCACCAATGTCCCCAGTTTCCCTCCACCCCAAGTCCCCACCCCACTGCCTGGCTCTATGGCAAGCACTTTTATTTTTTTCTTTATCTCTTTTTAAAATATTTTTAAAATCAAATCTCCATGAGATACAGTTACAAAACTTGTGACTGACTGTTGTACAATGTTTCAACACCTATCCCTCCACCATATGACAGGCATTTCTCTCTCTCTCTCTCTCTCTTTCTCTCTCTCTCTCTCTTTCTCTCTCTCTCCCTCTCTCTCTTACCTATTAGGCATCATGGTTTTCCATACAGATACTAAAAGGTTATCAGGCACATCCCTTTACCTAATTTCAACACTCAGTTCCTGTCCAAAGTGATCATTTTCAATTATTATTGTCATACTGGTCCCTTCTCTATCCTAACTGCCCTTTGCCCCCCCCCCCCCCAAACACACTTGTGGCATGCTTCCAACTACTGACCAGTCCTCCTGGCTCCTGTTTTCCCTGATGAGATTTTAAAGGAAATTAAATGTGAACAGTTTGTGCTAGATGAACAAAGTGCTGAGGAACAGAGGGAAGGGGATGAATTAAAAACTGTTAAGAGTTTGGCCTAGGAGTAATGAGGCCCCGGACTAAGGTGCTGACAATAGAAAACAGAAAGGAAGAGTATTAGGAGAAATGCCATAAAATATAACTATATCTATGACCTGAATTTAAGAGATTAATTGGAACCTGGCGGGAGAAAAAGAGTAAGGGTGAAGCATAACATACTGAGAAAAGAAAGCAGGGGTAACTGTGGGTTAGGATAAATTCAGGGGATTAGGAGTGCTTGTAAGAGCACTGTGAGTTGCAATAGGGGAAGGAAAGGGGTAATTCACTGATGCAGCCTAAAACACTTGGTGATAATATCCAACATGTAACAATGATGAATAAGGAGTTGTTTCGCATGGACTAATGCGAAGTTCTGTTATAATTTAGAGGAGAGGGCTTGGGTCACTACCTGTGGTACCTAGGCACTAGGACAAATCTTGGCTTGTTGCTTGGAGGTTGCTCCAGGAGGTGCTCAGGGACCAAGAGGTGCTGGGGATCAAATCTGGGTATCCCTCATGCAAAGCATGAGTTCCAGTCCCTTGAGCTATCTCCCCTGAACTATTTTAAGTCATGTTTATGCAATCAGATGAGAGGGTATATTCCAGTGACTTGGCTATAAATATATCACTGAAAGGTGAGAAACTACTTTCTTCTTATAAGAAGGATTAAAACTAATATCCTGAAGTCCCGGGAAAAGCAAATGGCATATGAAGGAGCTTTGCAGATGAAAATGTAACAACCCTTATTTCGAATAAAACCAGATGTTTAAAGCTCAAATAACCATTAAACAGCTTTATCACTTGCTTTAATGAAAGAGGTTAGAACAAATTATTGTTTTGATATATTTTATAACTTGGAACTGGGAACTCTACTTTATATTCTATACAGAGAAATACAGAGAATGCTATTACATGACAGTTATGATAGTAAAGGTGCCAGAAAGTCATTTATTGAAAAAACAGTATTACTGGAGCTATGAATTTCTATAACATCTAAGAAAAAAACAGAACTATCCATATTTTGTTAAGTATCAAGCTGTGAGACAATGAGAATATACGTGGTCTTTAGGTTTAAGCATTTGTTTAAAGTGTTAGTTTAACTAGTTTCTTTCCGAGTATTTAATAGTCTTCATCTTCTTAAATTGCTCTAACTTTCTCACACTGTCCTTTTATGTTACTTCATTTTCTTAACTGCTAAGTGAGGGGAATATTACACCCTCCAGATTTTCCACTGTACAGTTACAGAATCCCCACAGAAACCTACAAAACGTTCCTACCATACTATGGGTACTTCCACCAGACCCACTGCTTTATGCCAGCTCTTTATATTAGAAGAGCTGGATTCATATAGCCAAACCCAAAAGGCAGCAATAAGAATCACTTGGGTTTGTAAGCAATAAACACAATTCCAAAAGAATTTAAGCAGAGAGACAGAAAATAAACTTTAATAGTGAGGTATTTAACAATCGCTATCACAAGGAAAGGGAAATGGTTCGTATTGTTTAACCTATGAATTGTATGCCTGCAAATTAACTGTAACAAAGTATCCCCCAAAGCAAGAATTATTTGTACAGAGAAGTACCAGTTTAATGATATTCACTGGACTTTTAAAAATACTAGTAGCAAATTGAAAATAATCTGTTAGAAGGGAATTAAAAAATTATTTTGAAATTGTAATTATCCTATTTCATCAAGGCTAGGATATAGTTTTCTCTACAAGAAAATGTAATGACAAGCACTTCTAATTTAGAATTATATCATGCCAGCAATTATAAGAAAAACCGTAATTTCAGAGGTTAGTGAAATATGTCATCAGAATGGATGAAATATAGTTGTTATACATATAATAGCTAATAATTGAACTAACTTCAATAATATCTTTTCTAATACAAGTACTAATTTTTTAAAAAATTTTATTGAATCACCGTGAGATAGTTACAAGCTTTCATGTTTGGGTTACTAGTATTAATTTATACTTCTGACTCCTAGCTGCATACTTCTCTTCCAGGATATAACAAATGCTACAGCTGATTATTTGTATTAGTAAATCAATTTGGGTTTTTTTTTATGTTTGTTTTTTGATTTTGAAGCCACTCCCAGTAGGGCTCAGTCTTGTTCCTGGCTCTATGCTTAGGGATCACTCCATGCAAGGCTCAGAGGACCAAATATGGTGCTGGGAATAGAACCTGGGTCAACTGCATACAAGGCAAGTGCCTGACCCAGAGTACTGGCTCTTTGGCCCTAAATTTTAGCTTTCTTATTTAGGAATAAGTGACCTTAAAAGATGGAAAAACAGAAAGAAATCATGCTTTCCCTCTTCTGCATAAAATGGAATAGAGTTCATAGATTGTTCCAGTAACCAAAACCCATTTAAACATTTGTTGAAAAACTAAGTCTACCAGATACTGACTGAGCTGTAAATGGGAGACACAAAGATGATGATTGGGTAGAGTTCAAAAAATTTTTAAGACAAGGAGTCATAATTATAAAGAGTTTGTCAGATAGATGAGAAAAAGTATATGAAAGTATTTTTTTTAAAAAAAAGGAAATTAAAACAATACTACATATAAAATACAGTTTCCTCTCTACTTTTCATCCTCATATCCATCCTGAGATAAACCCAGTTTTCAGTATATGTGGAAATTTCTGTGCCTATAAAATACACACACAAGTATATATAAATATATGTGTATATATATATATGTATATATATATATATATATTTGCTTGAGCAGGCCCAGTAGACTTGCTACTGTGTCTGGCATATCGAATACATCATGGGTAGGTTGCCAGGCTTTGCTGTGTGGGCAAAATACTCTTGGTAGCTTGCCAGGCTCTCCAAGAGGAGCGAAGGAATCGAACTCGGATTGGCCAGGTCCGCCGCCTGCAAAGCAAATGCCCTACCCGCTGTGCTATCGCTCAAACTCCAATAATTATTGGTATAAGAACTATTGGGATTCTGGAAACAGTTTATTATTTATATAGTTTATATATAGAAGGCCATGCTGCAATGGACAGGTCTTATGCTGGATCTTCAGTGAGTGACTTAGTGCAACGTTCTGTTTGATTCTGGTTTGGATTTGGGGGCCACACCTAGTGGTGCTCAGGAGCCTGACGCCCAGCAGTGCTCAGGGGACCATGTAGTGCTGGGTATTACTGAACTGGCTGCATGTAAGGCAAGTACCTTTATTCCTGAGCTATCTCTCTCGCCCATTTCACTATATTTCTTTTTTTTTTTTCAGAAGCATGTTTATTGTTTTTGAGATGATACATCAGGTGCTCTCTGAGCTACGAAAGGTAAAGGAAATCCTCTCATTACAAACTGACAAAGGTAAAAGGTAGAACATTTCACAACAGCATGAACCACATATTCAGAAATAGATCTGGGTTTAATACAAATGACATAATTCCTAGCCATCTACACTAATTTTTAACTTCATACAGATAATGAACTAGTCTAAAATGCACTATAATATTTGGTAGACTTCAGGACCAGTATCCTTAGTCCATCATAAAATACATTTTGATATCCCAAAGAAGCAAGACCTGCAAGTAGGCATTTTAAACATAACTAATCTACAGCTACAAAGTTCTACTCTTGTTAGCCATTTACCTTTTGGGGGGACTCTCCCAGTCTCCAAAAGATAATAGCAGAGAGTAGAATCAGTATAACATATTACACAGAAGTCCTTATTGCAGCACAGTAAGAAGATGTCTTCTGCTCCTTCACACTGTATACAAATTATGTGAATTATGTTGCATATCTCTTGGTCCGCTGTCTGGCTATCCTGTCATGTTCTGCCCTGTTGGTCAAATACTGACTGGCTATGCTTCCAGCCAGAGGATCTGCAGGGTAGCAGTCTGTCAAAAGAGAACAAATCGAGAGCAAAACCTTTGAAATAGTCAAAGCAGGACTCCAGTTGTCCTTAAGGATGTCCAAACAGATGACTACCTGACTATTGATAGTGCAGTGATAGACTCTGGTACAGAAAGTAACCTTTGGTGGCTTGAATGGATAATCAGATGAAAATGTGGTAGCCAGAAAAAACATACACCACCTTAATATACAGAACCAGGTGGACCAAGTATAGTTGATCTCCATTCATAAATGTTATCTCCGTTAGGCCCAATACTGCAGTTAGGAGGAGGATCAAGGGTTATTTCAGCTAGCTCCTTCTGAATTCTTTGGGTGCTTGTGGAGAGCTTCGCGGTGGTTTTGCTGGAGAGTTTGGTGTTCTTCTTCTGCTGGGTGGCAGAAGGTTTCCTCTCTTCTTGTTCCTCCGGCTCTGGGGCTGCAAGGTTGCGCTGGTCAGTGTCCGAACTGCCGCTGCTGGTGCTGGGGCTCTCATCATCAGACCTCTGCCAATCGCTGGACATCTTGCTGGACTCATTCCTGGGCAAACTTGGCCGCCCGCCCGGCCCTCTCGCATGCCGCTACACTGTGGGCCAGTTCTCTATACTTCTAACCAAACTTCACGACCACCCTAGTCAGTCATGAAATCGAACTGATCTAACACTTAGTAAAGGTAAAAACAAAAACTTTGCATAGTTTACTTTAGAGCAATGTCCTTTTTGTACAGAGTGTAGGATAATACTGGTCTGTCTTTACTCCCTAGCCACAGGGAGCTTAGGTTTATTGGGTTACACCCACCACAGTGCTCCCATGGCACTCCCACTCCTGTGTGTTTATCTTTACCCTCTTTGCTGTGCTCTGCTTCCCCAACCAGTCAATCACCTCCATCCCCAAATCAGACTCTGCTGATTTGTATTTATTTGTATTTGTATTTTACTGGTATTGTTATTTGTATTTTATTTGTATTATTATTTGCATTTTACTTGTATTATTTGTATTTTATTTATATTTGTAAGTGAAATACTGCTTTTCTCCTTCCCTTATTTCCTTTTGCATAGTTTACTTTAGAGCAATGTCCTTTTTGTACAGACACAGGAAGACACTTAATGCTATGCTTTTGTAACTTGGAAATTAATTGACTCTGAGTAATATTCACTCCTGGGCATCTGTTTTCTCAACTTAAGCCTCAGTTGTTCTTAATTCCTAGCACCCCAAAAGCAGAGTCCCAGTGAGGAACTGGATGGACCCAGGGCAAGCTATGAGCTAACCTGACATTGAAATGGGCCAGGTCAAGATCCATAATACTTAACTATAAGCTAAGTGCTCAGTCATGGACAAATTCTGTCATGATCCAAAGAGTAACAACTGGATTAGAACCCTGCTGGGGTAAGTAAAGACTAATCTGGCCTGAGCACTGTACTCTGGAATCTATAGTGAGATGTCCTCAGGAGAGCCACCCTTATAGGCTTAATATAGCTCTTACTGTGTCCATACAAACTGACTAATAATTAAGAAGTAAAGTTAAGATGAATGTTTAAATGGTTATTGGACTACAGAAAGGAGAAACACCCCTGGGTGGTATTTCACCCTTGAGTGGATCTCCTGGCTGCAGGAGATTGAACGGGCTTTAATATGTTGATCGTGCCACTGACCTAGGTGTGGTTGCTACCCCAAAGCTTGGAGGTTGGGCACTAGACCAAGGCAGCTACATGGAGTGCAGAGAGACTAGCATGGGAGTCAGGAGGAGATGAGTATGAGGGGCAGTGTGAGACTGGAATGGGGACCCAAGTGAGACTGGAACAGGTGCTTGGGGAGAATGGAATAAACAGCGACTGATCAGCAACCAGCCTGGCAGCCCTGTTCCCTCCTTCATGTGGTGGCTTATGTCCACTAAACACACATGGCGAGTAAGAGAGAATGCCACCACAGCTGACCACTTATTTGTGATTACACACAGCAGAGTATGAAGAAATATGAAATACTGATATGCATCTCACATGGTAAAACTGCATATGAAATTTTATATCTATTTTCTATTTTACATATGTGTATATGTTATACATACATATTTCAATCCATGATGTTAGCTAAATTTCTTCCTGTGGATTATGCCAAAAAGCTTGAACGTTACTGATGACTGATTTATTTTATTTTTTTTTTAAGCCATAACTAGCAGTGCTCAAGGACCACATCTGGCTCTCTGCTCAAGAGTGACCCTGGGTGGTGCAAAGGAACCATATGTGCACCAGGGATCTGAATCAGGGTCACAGTCATCACAGTCACAAGCAAATATCTCACTTCCTGTACTGTCTCTCTGGCCTGACCAAACTGATTTAGTCAAAAGATTATACAAGGGCTAACTGCTTCCTTATAAATTTTAGGGATCCCCTGAAAAGTGCTACACTCTTGGACCAGGAACAAAATAAAACGAGAAAACTTTTTTTCCATATAATTGTGTAACAGAGACAGATCTCTGGGCCATGTCTCAAAAGCATTACATATATAATTTTAAGTCATTACCCTTTAAATTTTGTAAGTATATTAAAATAACTTTAGTATCAATTTTAATATTAATTTATTGATAGTAAAATTTTAGCATTAATTTATTGATATAAAATAATTTTGTATCAATAAGCAAAATTAAAATAGTACAGTGAAAATCATTTGCCAGTTGCACAAAAATTTAACAGTAGACTGCCATATTATCTCACAATTCAACAGCAGATTAAATTAAAATAAATTGAAAACAAGGACTCAAGCAAGTATATAAAACTAGTATTTATATAAAAATTTATTCACAAAAATCAAAAGGTGAAAATAACCTAACTGTCTACCTGACAGCGAATGAATAAGTTTTGGTATATACATGTGCAGTGAAATATTCAGTCATTAGGAGAAAGAGTAATAATACAGCAGGAAGGTCATTTGTCTTGTACATTGCTGACCTGGGTTTGATCCCATGTCCCCTCATATTGTCCACTAAGACCCACCAACTCTAGGAGTAAGTCCTGAACACCAATGGGTGTACCTCCCACAAAAAAGAAATATTCATTCATAAAAAGAAAGGTGGTATATGCCATAATATAGATCAACTTCCAAGATGTTACATGAAATAAATCATACCAGAAGGTAATACATAGTGTGATTTCACTGATAGGAAACATCCAGAACAGGCAATTCCAGAGAGACAGAAGAGGATAGGTAGTTTCCAGGAATAGGGTGAAGGCAAGCTGCTTAATGGGTAGAGAATTAACTTCGGAGTAACAAAAATGTTTCACAGGAAGTTAGAGGGGCTTATTATACAAAATTGTGAATGCATTCATGCCAATGAATGGTTAACTCTTTTATGAATTTCATTTTACTAAATTTAAAACAATATGGTGGACAGCTGTAAATATCAGTAAAACAAATATTCAGAATCTGAAAGGTAAATCTTTCTCAAGACACTAGAAATGGAAAAATTGGGTATTTGAACTTTTTCTCAAAAGATGAAAAAAAAAGGATCATATAGAGAGTAAACAGTGCTTACTGAACTAGGGGCTAAATGGAAAAAATTAGGTAGACAGTTCTGACAGAAACCTCTGAGTGAAAACTTGCCATGTTCATTTTCTAGAAACATCACACGGTAATAAAAATTCAGCAAAAGCAATAAATAGCAGTACTCCTACATTTAAAAAAAATTCAGCAAAAGCAGAAACATTATTCTCATAAAAAAAGGGGGGGGAATAAGAAAGAAGAACATTGGAAGAGAACTTTGAATTTGAAGGAAAAGGGAAGTTACCCAGTCTTCTGGTTGTCTGGTTTATAAATCTCTTTAAGAAATAAAGGGGAGGAGTTAATAGAGAATTATAAAATGACCACTTTCCTCTTCCATCGGAGGAAATGGTTTTTATTGTCAATACACTGTATCTGTTTTTGGAGAGAACTCACTAGAAGCTTTCTAACACAGGCTAGATAATCCAAAGAGTAGAGTAGAGGTAGGTGTGTGTGTGTGTGTGTGTGTGTGTGTGTGTGTGTGTGTGTGTGTGTGTCAGGGGGTGCGGTTGGAGGGTTGGAGGCTAATGCGATGTGGAAGAATTTGCTATAGAGAAAGATCAAGGCTTTTCAAACTTTAATCAAGAGACCACTAACAATCCTGAAGGCTGCTAGAGTGAGGAAAGATTTGAAGAAAAGGGACAAAGAAATGTTGATATACCTGTCCTCTATTCCTGCTTCATTCAGGGCACGTTTGTCTTTTAACTTTCAAATAATGGAGCACCATGCTGACTCCATTAAAGATGAAAGATTCCTAAACCTGGACACTCAATACTAAAAGAGCTTTCCAAATGACAAATTCCTAGGTCCTATATAAAAAATAAATAACTGCCCCCAAGAAAATCTCATCCATGCTAGCCCAGAGTGTTTAGGAAGCACCAAATCAAGTGACCTTCACTGTCCTGAGAGCTTATGACAAAAGAGACCTTAAATGGGTGAGCAGCAGTCTTAGACAAAAGAGCAGGTAGTAGCAGATGAAGAAGAGAATGCGGATGCTAAATCAGTAAGGTCAAATGAAGAAACAAAAATTCAGTAAACAGGGAGCTTTTTTAGGACCAGAAACTCCTTTAGAGGTTTAACGGTCGGAAATTATCTCATAGTCTTCTATACCTGTCATTGGTGATGAGAGTCAAAAGTGGTTTAACTCAGGGCACTTTCCAAAACATGTATTACACGAACTGCCTGTGTAATTTATGTTTCTAGTAACCACTTAAAAATAGTAAAAAGAGTGGGCGAAAGTGACAATATAGGGCAGGGCATTTGCCTTGCACACAGTTGACCTGGGTTCCAACCCTGGAGCCCCATATGATCACTCCCAAGAAGTGATTCTTGAGTGCAGAGTTAGGTACAAGCCGTGAACAATGCTTTTGTGGGTATAGTTCCCCAAAACTAATCAAACAGAGTAAGAAGAGGTGAAATTAATTTCAAGAATATTTTATTTATTGGCCAAAAGTTAGGTATGTGGGAGACACACCCACAAACCACATCCGGCTCAGTTATATAATTGGATGCATGGCCTCTCTGGTTCCTGATCAAACTGCTTAATGGCCATGATCCCAGAGACTCAGAAACAAATATCGGAACCCAAAGGCTTTCGGTAGAAATGTATCCTGTTCCTGCAGTAGGTTACTGGCGCTGGGCCACTCCAGGTGGGAAGAGATTTCGTGCTTTGGCCTGTTCCCCCTGGTGGCCCAGTGACCGCCATCCTCCAGAGGCCACTGGACAGTCAAGTTTGGGCCTGCAGTGACGAGACATGCGGGGCCTCACCAGATGGGGGTGGAACTGGCCCTTTCCTCCCCATCCCAATGAGACCCTAAGTCGCCACCTGCAAACGGCCTCTCTGGCTCCTGATCAAGCTGCTTAATGGCCATGATCCCAGAGACTCAGAAACAAATCTCGAAACCCAGCGGCTTTTGGCAGAAATGCATCTGGACCACATACAAGGTGGCCGCCGCCTCAGAGCTTACTGGAAAGCCAGGTATGAGCTGGTGGTGATGGGGCAACTGCAGTCTCATGGGAAGGGGGGGCGGTACCAGCTCGTACTTCACACCCTACCGAGGTCGCGAGTTGCCCCCCACGAGCAGCTCTCCAGCACGGCCATGGCTCCAGAGGCAAAAGGACTTAATCTAGAGCCCAGAAGTTTGTGGCAGAAGAGTGAATGGACCATGCATTAAACTATGGCGCCATGCCTCCAGGAAGGGAAAGGATGTTGCTCCCTTCTGCCTCCCCCCTCTCCCCCACCCCACACACACAGCAAGGTGGCTGCCACCTCAGAGCATATAGGAAAGCCAGGTATAAGCCAGCAGTGACAGGGCAACTGCAGTCTCATGGGCAGGGGGGTGGTACCGGCTCGTTCTTCACGCCCTACCGAGGTCACGAGTTGTCCCCCACAAGCAGCTCTCTGGCATGGCCATGGCTCCAGAGGCAAAAGGGCTTAATCCAGAGCCCAGAAGCTTGCAGCAGAAAAGTGAATGGACCATACGTTAAACTATGGCGCCAAAGCCTCCCCAGAATGGAACGGGTGTTGCTCCCTTCCGCCTTCCCCACCCGTCCCCCGGCAGCAAGGTGGCCACCACCTCTGAGCTTAATGGCAAGGCAGGTATGAGCCAGTGGTGACGGGGCAACTGCAGTCTCACGGGAAGGGGGGCGGTACCAGCTTGTCCTTGATGCCCTACCGACGTCAAGAGTTGCCCCCCACAAGTGCCTCTCCGGCATGGCCATGGCTCCAGAGGAAAAAGGACTTAATCCAGAGCCCAGTAGCTTGCGGCAGAAAAGTGAATGGACCATGCGTTAAACTAAACTACAGCGTCATGCCTCCCCAGGAGGAAAAGAGTGTTGCTCCCTTCCGCCCTTTTCCCCCTTGGCAGCAAGGTGGCCGCCACCTCAGAGCTTAATAGGAAATCCAGGTATGAGCCGGCGGTGACGGGGCAACTGCAATCTCATGGGAAGGGGGGCGGTACCAGCTCATCTGTCACACCCTACCGACCTCACGAGTTGCCCCCCCCATGAGCGGCTCTCTGGCACGGCCATAACACCAGACGCACAGAAACCAATCCTGTAATTATCTGGCTCTTTGCAGAAATCCAAAATTGCGTGGCCGCAATAGCGGCCGCACAACATTACATAATTGTCTTAACCAGCTATAGAAAACAAAGTATTTCACAATGCCTTTTCAGCAATTCTGATTGTTGGGGGGGGGAGGGAATTCTAAACAATAATGGTGCATCTTTTGTCGAAATAATGACTGTAATCAATGTAGAGAAGAGTTAAGTAGAAATTATCTGCCTCACAGGCATTGGGAGGGGTGGGAGGGAGGGTATATTGGGGTTCTTGGTGGTGAAAAATGAGTACTGGTGAAGGGTAAGGTGTTTGATCATTGTATGACAGAGACTTAAACCTGAAAGCTTTGTAACTTTTCCCACAGTGATTCAATAAATAAATATAAGAAGAAAAAAAGAAATAAAATTATGGAAAAAAGAATATTTTATTTGATAATAGAATGAAAATAACATTTCAACAAACAATTCAAGGTAAGAATTATCAATAATTTATGTACTTTATTTTTTGGCATTAATTTTTCAAAACATTACTGCACAACTAGATTCTAACAACCAGGTTTCAAGAGCTTAACAACCAAATGTGGCTAGTGGTTCTTACCATATAGTGTAGGACTAATTAATAACAAATCACACTAGTTTGTTCTTAAAACAATATTTTATTGCTATAAAGGCAAAAGCCCATGAATCATTTTCTTAATCATGGAGACCTTGCTCTGGTGGCTAGTCGGATAATAGTTTCATCTGCAGATATCATATCTGACTTCATATCTTTAGTCTTGTTCCTACTTCCTCTTCCCAACAACTGTGCCTATTTTGAACATTTTTATTATAACATCCTGCTCTCGAAGCCTACTCAAAATATCCCAAACTAATTCATTATCTTTCCAAATTAAAAAAAAAGTATCTCTTTCTTTTTAGGGAGGGTCACACCCAGTGGTGCTCAGGGGTTATTCTTGGCTCTGCACTCAGAAATTATTCCTGGCAGGTTCAGGAGACCATAATGTATGCCAGGGATCTAACCCAGGTCAGCCACGTACAAGGCAAGAGCCTTAAAGACTGTATTATCACTCTGGCCCAACCTCTTGATTTTCCTCTTTTTTTCATTCTATGATTTTCTACCAACAGAGAATGCACTTACTCTAACTTTACCTATTCAAGTCACAAATATTTATGTATTTGGCACTGTACTCACTACAGGAGATAGAATAAATAAGCCTAATCTCAGTTTACCCATTTTTAGAAATAATCCTTTAGATGTCAAGAGCATCCTAAAGAAACTAAAATTTAATTAAAAAAAAACTTTGCTGACTTTGAAAAATTAGAAGTGAGTTTGCATTGCTGAATTGTGTTTTTCTTTTCTTTTTTTTTTTTGTATTGTGGGGGTAGGCATACCTAGAAGTACTTAGGAGCTAATTTCAGTGTAGAGCTTGGGTAGGTGTGTGTGTGTAGGGGGAAGGGTGAGGGGATCTCATGCAGTGCAGGGGATCCAACCCAGGGATTCCAAATGCAAAGCTTGTGCTCCAGCCCTTGAATCATCTGCCCAATCCCAGCTGCTCTAAGTCTCATAGACTTTACAATCTGTGGCCTAATTTTTCTATTCATATCACACTATTTTCCCAAATAGAATGTGGATTTCCTAAAAGTGTGGACAAGAGTCCTACTAGTGTGTTTTCCCTGGTGTGCAGTAAATAACAAATTTATGTTTGCTGACAAGTCTTTTAGAGAGACAAAAGAGTCTGTGGCACAAGGGGGTTCTATCCAAAAAAGAGAATATCCCTCATGCCACTCCCCCACTTCCCCGGTACCCACTCCCCAGAAATATTATGGACAATTAGAAACAGAAATGACCTGGAAGCACTTATAAGAATCTCAATGCAGAGAAAAATACTTCAAAAGTTTCATTATCATTTGCAAAACAATTCAGAATTGGAACTTGGGAGATAGTACAGGAGTGAGGGCACATGCCTTGTGTGAATAGGACCACAGTTCAATCCCCCACCCCTGCCAGGTTTCCCACGCATCACCTGCTGTGACCCTGGTTCAGCATAGCTGAACCTGAGCACAACCTCCAAGTTGTCTGAGTATTGCTGGAAGGGGCCCAGGGCCCAGGAATCCCCTGAGCATCACTTGGGAAACAGACAAAATCTGAACTGGCAACACATAAGTTAGGATCCATCACACTAGCTTCTGAACCTCTACCAACTAAGATAAATGGTCAGCTCTCAAAAATCCTTTCTTGACACTAAATGAAAACAATACCATCGATGATGATTAATATATATGCAAAATGTTTCAGAGATATAAAGATCACTCACCACATGTTGTGTTCAAAAACTTTGGCTGGGTCTGTTAAAATCCTTGATCCCAGAGGGGCCACGGGATGGCAACCACTTTGATATCTGTGAGGCACCTCTCTTATCCTTACACAGGAAATAGAGTTTCTCCAAACCACATTCATCTTCATCAGTGCCTATAAAGTTACAAATGATGAATTAAGCGGTATATTGTTTGCCAAATAGGCAAAAACTGTACAAAAAGGTTAATAGCCTGAGAAAGGACTCAGGATAAAAACCTTTATTTTCAAATAGATTTCATTTATTTAATTTTGTGGTGCTGGCATGGAAACGAGGGGGCCACACGGGTGAGGCACACCATGCTCTACCACTGACCTACACATCCCTAGCCCTGGAAATTAAAATACAAAATCTTTTTAACAAAAGGGGATCATGATAACTTTTCTACTGGAGTAATATCAGATCAGGAATAATATCAGATCAGGAGTGTGTAACATTCCTGGCATTCTTTGTAAGTCATAACCTTGACCAAACTGCTTTGTTTGGTACCTGCTAATTTAGAATGTAAAGTAAGTAAGTAAAGGCCCTCCCGTTGATCATCGATTTGCTCGAGCGGGCCCAGTAACTTCTCCATTGGAGACTTTGTTGTTACTGTGTCTGGCATATCGAATACGTCACGGGGAGCTTGCCAGGCTCTGCCGTGCGGGCGAGATACTCTCGGTAGCTTGCCAGGCTCTCCGAGAGGGGCAGAGGAATTGAACTCAGGTCGGCCATGTTGGCTGCGTGCAAGGCAAACGCCCCGCCGCTGTGCTATCACTCCAGCCCATTTATAGAATGTAAACCCAACAAATAGACATTAGGTATTACGAAGGGTTTGGGGGGCTGGGGACACTCCTAGCAGTACTCAGGGGTCTGAAGCCATTTCCAGTGGATATAAGGAGAGCACCATGCAAAATATCGGGGAAGAAACCAGGACTTTACAGGTGCAAAACATGTGCTCTTCCACTGAAACCACATTTATATCCCCATTCAAGTTTTTTTAAAAGTGATTTTATTACCTGAGGGGGAGAGGAGATTCTGAGAAAATACAATTCTAGAGAATAGTTCATAACCACGAGACCAAAATATCAAATATAAAAGGACAGAATAAGAAATTAAATGTATTCAATCTTATCCCTGAACTGAATAATATGAAAATTCATCAATTAATCACTGTATTAAGATATCATACTAGAAATCTTTTTTTCCCTTCTCAATTTGTGGTATCAGAGTTTACAATAGTACTGCAGTCAATATTTTGTGGTTATATAGGATTACACCAATCCAGCATTCTTAGCTCAAACAACTCTGTATAAACATGTTTTGAAGAACAGTCAATAACACTTCTGCAAAATATATTTTCTTGTACAAAGAGCATGCTTAAGCTCCATCACAAGAAGAGAGTCATCAGTTGATTAGCCAAATCTACCCCCATTATGGAAGAATAACTTAAAATTTAATTATGCACTTAATTATGTCATTTAATTATACATTATAAACTGGTGGATATGTTGGTTAAAATCTTTAACACCCCAGAACAATCTCTAACGAATTTACTTTTCCCAGTAAGAACCAAGAGGAAAACTGCTCAGCATTTCAGCCCCATTCGTTATTCACCATAAAACACTCAGTCCGATAATGATGCGAGCTGTCAGGTAAAAAGTGATGCTAAAAGGTGTGTGTACATAATATGCATTAAAGACTAGCCAAAGTGCTATTAGGCATAAAAATGACAGGTATTGTACATGCTTTATCACCTTACAGAAAGTCGCTGGGTTTTAAGGCTGAATTCCAAAAGGAACTGCAGGCATCAAAAACATCTTATTGTTCTTCAACATAAAATCCAAGGTTTTTCTTCTGGAAATGATAACCTTAAAGAAGACTTAGTTACATACACACCCTCCACCACCCAATTCTAATGCTTACATTTAAATGTGACTTTTGGGGATAAGAAATGAAACATTCAACAGCTAGCACTGTGCTCCAGTTTCTTGTTTGTTTTTCCTTCCCCACTAAATGCAAGCTCCTTGGAGGCAAATGGAATTAAATGCTCCGCCTACTCCTACTTTTCCTCTGATGTGCCTTTGTTCTTTTCTACTGCCAGTGTTCCACAGAAGACTAACAAAACCCTACTGCACAATTATTTTTAGAAATCTTTCTGCACGGAATATTATTCATAAAATCTGTATGCTGAAGAGTAGAAACCGATTACACCTAGAAAGAGGCAATTCATGCTTAAAGAGTAAAATGATGTAAACGTTTTCCACCCAGGAAAGTCAAATCAAAATGAAATTCCAATTCTTCAAATAATCATGTGATACTTATCTCTATTTCTATATAGAAGAGGAAGAGAGAGGGGGAAGAAGATAAGAGGGTTTTTTTTTTTCACTATAATTGATGGACAACCTGTAAGAGAGAAGAAGACAAAAAATCATAACCAGACTGGGTATCAGGCAATTCAGGGAAATGTCAGAGATGTCTGTGGACTGCAAGCCGCTGGATGTAGACAGAATCTGGCGTGGTCAGTACCCAAACATGTGGCAATCTGTTGTGCTTACGTGTCCTCATTAGTCACACAAGTGTTTTATGTATTGTATTTGGTTATTAGTGATCTTTAACACTCACATACAGTTTTGCATTGTTCTTTGTCATTGCTATAAAAATATATATCATATATATCGAATAAATGTCTTCCAACTAAATTACAAGCTTGTGGGACAACACCAAGCTACTTGTAAGTTTATTAACTGACAGTACAAAAAAAAAATAATACTTGTCTAGTATATAAATTTAATCAGAAGGAAGTTATTTCATATATTCCAGGGTGGATCCTAAGATTTTTGCCTGTGAAAGGTTGTTTTTTTTTCCCCCACTATAGGAAGGAAGTCATGATGTAATAGTATACAATGAAATCCAGTTATACTGATTACAATGACTAACAAAGATATGCTTTATGTCATGATTATCAATGTTAGCTGAATACCAGGTCATGGTTTGATTTTATGATGGGACAAAGAAAGAAAAGCAGGGTTAGCTCTAAACAGAGATCTGGTAGAGAAGGTTTATCTACCAGATACCAGAATATCCCACCTTCTATTGTCTTTCTTCTTTCCTTCCTTCTTTCTTTCTTTCTTTCTTTCTTTCTTTCTTTCTTTCTTTCTTTTTCTTTCTTTCTAAAAATGAATGGAGAGTCAGAAAGAGGAAGTGCATATCGCAGGCTATGCGGTGGGCAGGGCTGGAGCGACAGCACAGCGGTAGGGCGTTTGCCTTGCACGCAGCCAACATGGCTGCCTGAGTTCGATTCCTCCACCCCTCTCGGAGAGCCCGGCAAGCTACCGAGAGTATCTCGCCCGCATGGCAGAGCCTGGCAAGCTACCCGTGATGTATGCCAAACACAGTAACAACAAAGTCTCCAATGGAGACGTTACTGGGCCCGCTCGAGCAAATTGATGAACAACGGGAGGACCGTGACCGAGGTGGGCAGCAGAAATGGTGAGGATTCCACCTTCTCTAAGAGTATTCTTAACTCCACTTTTCTTTTTGAAAATTTTTTTATTTCAGTGGTGCTCAGGGTTTACTATCTGGTTCAATGCTTAGGGATCATTCTTGGCAGGGCTCAGGTGACCCCACAGAGTGCCAGGATTGAACCCAGTTTGGCAAGCATCCCACTCACTGTACTATTGCTCTGGCCCCTTTACTCCCTTCTTCAAACCCTAATTTGAACAAAAGTTTAACTGAAATGCTATTTCTGCAAGTAATATATGGGTAATTAGCATTTTTACCTGAAATAACACAAAGCAGTATAAAAATATTTCATTCAGAATGTAGAAAAGGAAGAACAAAGGAAAAACAAGACAACCAAGGTGGCATACTGACAAAAAGGCAAAAATATCAGGGTCTTCGGAGGAATGTGGCTCAGCAGTGGACACTTGCTAAAGTGAAGCTGCACATTAGATCCCCAGCGCTGCTCCACATCACCAAGTACAATCCATGCACTACAGCAGTGATCCCCCAGTGCTCCAAGTGTGCAGCAGGGGAATCATGCAGTGGTGCCTAGTACCAGTCTGGCAAGCATATTGTCAAGTTCACACACTCCATGTCCCATGTACGATGAGTGCAATCTTGGCAGCTAGGCTGTTTGAGCCTAGCATCAATGGGTGTGATGCAAGCAATTTCCAGCTACATAGCAGCAAGAGAAATCGAGAAGTTCTACATGGAGTTAGAGAAGTTCTATAAAGAAGACCACACCTGCTACAAGATCATTGTGGGTGATTTTAATGCCAAGATAGGACCGAGAAGATCAGCTGAAGAACTTCACATCGGGACCCATGGCCTAGAATGGAACGAACAGGGTGAGAGACTGTCTGAGTTCATCATGTCGACCAAGACTATTCATGGTAACTCACAGTTCCAGAAGGCAGAATCTAAATGATGGACATGGGAGTCTCCCGGTGGACGATTCCACAATGAAATAGACCACATCATATTCAATCGACGGTTTTGCCTGACTGATGTCGCTGTTGTCCCAAAATTTCGAACGGGATCGGACCACCGTCTCCTTCGTGCAAAATTCTACTTCACAGAGTGGGGAGAAAGGGCTGCAAAGTTCAAAAAGAGAACTCCCAGAATGACCACCAACTGGGAACTCTTTGGTACTATTGCGGCAACATGGGAAGATGCCATTGTTGACAACATTGACGAGGAATACGATCGACTGGTTCAGCACCTCCATGAATGTGCGAGGAACGCCAAGAGAGAGATAGCCACAAAAAGTCGCCTATCTTCGAAAACTCTTGAGCTAATTCGCCAGCGTGGTTTGGCGCATGCCTCAGGCAACCGCAAGCTAACGTCCGAGCTTGCAAAGCAGTGCAGAGATGCAATCAAGAAAGACCTCAAAGAGAGAAGAGCAGAAGTACTGGTAGATGCGGCAGAAGCCGGGAAAAGTATTCGTAACGCCCGCCTGTCCTTCGCCAACTATAAGACCAAGATGACTGCCCTCCGATGTCCTGATGGATCCATCACATCCTCCAGAATGGCAATGGAGAAGATTATCCATGACTTCTACTCAAATCTCTTCGATAGCCATGTCCACTTGCCGACATACCAAATTCCACAGGATGGGTATGTCGTTCCCAAC